GAAATGAATCTTCAGCTTAATTAAGTGAAATAATACAAACCCCTGAGATTCCACCCCTTGTTGACTTGGCACCTATATGCCCCTCTTCCAGACAAAGGCAATAGTCATATCCTGCCAAGCATAATGCGATTTTCCCTGTATACAATCTAAAACAAGCTAACCTCTCCCCAAAGTGGATAGAGGATACAAAGTCCTTTTATCCATCTTTAGGCAATGTTCATTTCTATTCTAGTTGAGTGACAATACCTTTTGATATCCTCTGACCTGAATATTGAGATATAAGGTTAACAACACTAATACACCCTATGTAAACAGCAGCACCCCAGATGAGGCTGCAATGCTGCAGCTGTCCACTGTCAGGGAATGGTAGCATATGTGGAGAGCCATCTGTAAAACAGGCCTGGGTCTTTTTCCTTCTTCTGCATCTGGCCACAGGGAATTTGCCATGAACTCATAGGTACAGGCGAAGGAGGAGGCTTGTGGCAGGCACTGGGGCCACGGGGATGCTCATACAACTTACTTGGGCCTTCAGAGGCTATTCAAGCCCGATTTCACACAGACCATTTCCATTTGACTTGCAATTGCTGCTATCCATGCTGAACTTTGTCTTGATGGGCCTGTTAACATACAGTTCATGATAGGCAACTCAGGCCTCATGATAACTTGGCAACCTGAGGTCAAGCATTCAGTGTCTACCAAGACCTGCTGGCAAGCCAGATACTGTTTCTCAAAAGAAGAGTAGTCCCATGCAGTTGATGGCATGGCTTTGCTCCAAAACCCTTAAGGTCTACCCTATGCTTTACCCACAGAGGCCCCTCTGAGCTTCCATGTAGCATCTCTATGTGCATATACACGTCAAGCACCATTGCATCTGCTGGGTCATACCGCCCAAGTGGCAGAGCCACTTGCATGGCAGCCTGGACCTTTTTGTTCTAGGCCCCACTAAAAACAAGCAACTGTTCAGGTTGATTGGTAAGTGGGTTGAAGTGGTACTTCATTGGTACCATTGGTAAATGGTACTTCAGTGGTACTTTAACCTGAAACATTAGTTATATCTCTAAAATCTGAAGTGCCCACAAGGCACTGTGCTTCCTTCTCAATAGATGGGAGGGCCAGATGCTGTGACTTGTCCTACCTTTTGAAAGGGATATCTCAACATGCCCCAGACTGAAGGGCATCCCCCTGGAAAATGCCACTGCAGTAGCAGGCTCCTGAATTCTTGTGGGATTTTCCCCCCTAAGGCACATACTTGTCATACATGTTATCACCAATGCTGACGTCCTGTGGGATGCAAAGATAATCAAGGTCCCTCTGGACTAGATGACGGCATGAGCTGGAGAGTCAATGTAGTCCTGCAGTTGGAAAGTGTAAGTGTATTGCTGTCCCTTCAAGCTGAGAGCAAATGCTTCTGACAGTTTTACTAATAGGTATAAGGAAAAAGTCATTCTGCAGTGGACTAATTATAAAACAGGTGCCAGGGGATGTGTTGATTGGCTGCAGCGACAAAACTACAGCAGCTGCGATTGGAGGCATTGCTTGATTAAGTTTGCAGTACTCCACTGTCTTTCTCTAACAGGCATCTGTCTTCCATACAGGTAGACAAAGAAGCATTCATGTCCTGTATGCCAATTTTATTTTGTAGAAGCAGGGCCTCACTATGTTGCCCAGGCTAATCTCAAACTCCTGGGCTCGATGAATCCTCCCACTACAGCCTCCCAAAGCACGAGGATTATAAACATAATCCATCATGCCTGGCCCTGTCTGTGGATCTTGAGTGAGATTTTAAAGCCTTGAGACCATCACTTTCTTTTTCCAAGTTCTCCAACCCATAATATAATTTTTCTGTTTCCACTAAAGCACTCTGTGCCATCAACGACTTGGTCACCCTTGAACAGGTGTGTACAGAGGTGATCATTTAAGCAGCTGTTTTATCTCTTCAGGCTGTGGTCAATCAATGTTCCCCTTACCACTAAAAACCAGTCGTTTATGCCTTTAATTCTAATCAAATAAGAAAACCAATTCCAGATGACCCAGAAGCAATTCAAAGAGTCCATCCTTCTGGCTTTGTTCCTCAGAAAACTCTCCTAGTACCAAATTCTGAGGAGGTTAAGGAGTTCAGGCAGAAAGGCAAAAGTACTCTTATACAACAATATTTTTTGGTAGAGATTTGACCTGGTACAGATGGGACTGCTGGCTTAGTTCTTCATAGGAGGCTTTCTCCTGTGCCAGGTGCTACAGCTTGAAGTTAGCAAGGCACACAGTCTGAAACGGAAGATGGGTGTGAAGGGGCAGGAGACAGCAAGGACAAATTGGAACCTGGGAGGATGCATGAAACCCAAAAGAACAAACAAGAACCGGATGGGTCTCAATACCTTCCAGCCTAGCTTCATTGCCTATGCACCCTGCAGGGGAAGCTGGTTCCCTTACTTACAGAGCTAAACACACATCTGGACCAAGAGTCAGAGAAGTTAAACAAAGAAATCCAGCAGGCTCGCCCCAGCAAGGCGAGCCAGCAGATCCGTGATCCATGGGCCTGAGCCATAAACACACCATGCCCTGCTCCCAAGTGTAAAGAGAATATGACTGCACTTCCCATCTGCCTTCCACATCTCAACAAAACATCTCTTTGGGCCCTAAACTACAGCAACTAACCAGAACCCTAACCCAGAACTCTACAGGGAAAGGAATTCTGGGAAACATAGCTTAGCTAAAGTTACACAATCCAAACTTGCCACACCCACCCTGAACAAAACAAAATATGTTTTCCCCGGTGCCTGTTGCAAGACCTGGCCCCAGCTCCAAGCTTCCCCTGTGTGATGTTCTACTAAGAACACAGTTTTGGGCTGAGGTGGGAGGATCGCTTGAGGCCAGGAGTTCAAGCCCAGCCGGGGCAACATAACAAAAGCCTCAGTTCTACAAAAAAATAAAATTAGCAAGGTATAGTGGTGCATGCCTGTAGTCCTAGCCACTCCGGAGGCTGAGGTGGGAGGATCAGTTGAGCCCAGGGGTTTGCGGCTGTAGTGAGTTATGATCGTGCCACTGCACTCCAGCTTAGGTGACAAAGTGAGATCTTGTTCCTGGAAAAAAAAAAAAAAAAAAAAAAAAAAGAGACCATAAAACATGGTATTGAGATCGACAGACTGCTTCCTTCCCACCTCTCTTCCTTATTACCTGTGCGGTCTCAAGCAAAACACTTCACGTTCCTGGGTGTCAGGTCCCACCCCTCACATGGGAATGAAAACAGCAGCCTCACCGGGCAGTTAATAATGTCTACATGGTGTCCCGCACAAAGAAGAAACTCCAGTCAGGCTCAGTGGCTCAAACCTGTAATCCCAGCACTTTGAGAGGCCGAAGCAGGCAGATCACCTGATGTTAGGAGTTCGAGACCAGCCTGGTCAACATGGTGAAACCCTGTCTCCACCAAAACCACAAAATTAGCTGGGCATGGTGGTGCATTCCTGTAATCCTAACTACTCAGGAGGCTGAGGCAGGAGAATCGCTTGAACCTGGGAGGCGGAGGTGGCAGTGAGCCAAGACCACGCCATTGCACTCTAGCCTGGGTGACAAGAGCAAAACTCCATCTCAAAAAAGAAGAAGAAGAAAGAAGAAGAAGAAGGAGGAGGAGAAGGAGGAGGGAGGAGGAGGGAGGAGGAGGAAGGAGGAGGAGGAGGGAGGAGGAGGGAGGAGGAGGAGGAGGAAGAAGGAGGAGGAGGAAGAAGGAGGAGGAGGAGGAGGAGGAGAAGAAGAAGAAGAAGGAAGAAGAAGAAGAAACTCCATACACCTCCTACTTCATCAGCCCACCTTAGCTCTGTCCTCCTCCCTTCCATCCTGATCAGTGGGCTTTACCTTTGAGGCCTTTTTAGTTTGGTAACAACTACAAGGGAGCTCCCGCTGCCCAACCCCTCTGTACATATGCTTATAGAGATCATTTTACTTACGTTTGGAGGCTCACATTTGTGACTGAAGCCCAATTCAGATGACAGTAAAGGATCTGTATGTACAGGGCAATCTGTCCATTAAGGATGTATAAAGATCTAGCTAGGGAGGCACTGCAGTCTGATTTGTATGTTTCACTAGCTCTCTTAAAAGGGGATGACGTCCATGGATCAGCAAATGCAACAGTCAAGGAGAACGCCTTTTCCCACGTTTCGAGGCTCCCTTAGCTCTCATGTCCCCAGAACTGTTCACAGCAGCCAAGGTGGAAGACAGCAATGGGATCCCCTCCACTGCGGATGAAGCCCAGAGCCGTAGACTGACTGACCACCTGGGGACAGCCTCCAGAATCGAAAGAGGCAGTTGGAGCAGAGAAGACATGGAGCTGGTCCTCAGCTGGAATCCAGGGGCTCCCCCGATGAACCCCTAATGTGGATGAGTCCCTGAACTGCTCCTTTTGTGGGCTGGGATTGAAGGCAATGTGGGATAGTGGCCAGAGCCCAGGGTTCAGGGTTTAAAGCTAGGATCTGAGGTCGAATCCTACTTCTGCTGTTGATGTGCTGTGTGACTTTTGGATGGTCTCCTAACCTTTCTGTACCTCAATTTCTTGGTAGATAAATGAAGGTTCTCTATGATTCCTTCCAGCTCAAACCCATGACAGCCTATAGTGTTGCCTTCATAACCTCGTGGCATCCCGCTCCTGTGTGGATGCTGGGACTCTGAGCTGGGATGTGCCAATGAGAAGGGCCTGCCCACAGCCACCTCCAGCAGAACTTACCAGCAAAACCCTGCCCTGCCTCCCACCTGACTCTCACGGGAGAAGGGAGAGGTCCGGACTGGGTTCTCTTCTCTGTCATCCAGAATATCACGATTGAAGGAAAATGGAATTAGAGTGAAGCCTTCAGTTTCCCCCACATACCCATTCAAAATTGGATCTGGGAAATGGCTTTGATTTTAAATATTTCATGAGCAAATTCGGCATTTAAGTCCCTCCCCGTGTGGCATTGTCAAATATAGACACCGAGTCTAAATCAAACTTTTCTAAAGCACTGGTGCATTCAGGGTAATCTCATAAAATTAAATTTTATTTTGAAAACATTCACCACTAGAGCTTTTTAAATATAGACCCTATTTATCATGCAGTTATTTTGGGGTATGTCGGAATAAAGAAGCCATAGGTACTTTCTCGGAAGGACGTTCCTTTGTTTTGGAATACATCCTTTCTTCTTGCAGTCTTGGTATCAGAACAAACATCCTTTCTTTTATGAATTGATAGATGGGTTGGTTTTCTAAATGTCCTCACTTTGTAAAAATTAAACCCCATAGCTGACACCTGTTTAAAAAAAAATTCCTGCTGTGTGAAATCCTAGAATCTTAGCATCCCCCATATCAGCAACAAGGTGGGCTTTAGAAGTCTCATTTTACATTGCAAGAAACAAGAGGGTTTCTTTCTCAAATAGACTGAAAGTCAGAGAGGTTCAGTAATGGGTCCAAGACTACACAGCTGAAGAAACCAGCACTGGGATCTCAATGCCACCCTCTCTGGCCTGGAAGCTGAAGCTGGCATAATAACCAGTTATCTTTCCCCCACCCCATCGAGGAAGAATGAGACCCAACACTGGAGAGGACCCCAAGGTTTAAGGAAATAAGCCCAAGAGAAAGCCTGAAGCTCATCCCAGAAAACCCTGCATTTACTAATCTTCCTTTCTGTCTCTGAGACAACGTAGATAACTTTGGGTTTATTACCCCAGCGGCAGAGAAGGAGGCACCAGCAATCCCCCACAGCAGAGGAAAATGTCTATGTGGTTTTTATTAGCCTTGAGAATGAATTTTATTTAATATCCATACACCAGATTTAGAGAGTCAATTTGGCTCTTCCTGTGTAAAAATTCTCTGGAGGGTGGCGGTGGTGATAATCTGATCGCAGAAGCTGAGAAGTAAGTGCATCTCAGGAAAGTGTTCCAACTGGAGCCAGGACGCTGTCTTCAGAGAAGAAAAGAGACACGGCCAACCCTGAGTTGGGGGAGAGCTCTTGGCACCAGAGGGGCTGCCCTCGGAAGTAGAGGCCTAGGGACCCTGGGACCCTACCAAGTCCTATGACCAGAGTCACTCTCCCGGGACTTGCTAGAGGGTACAGTGTGGCCCTGGGGGTCCTCCAAGCTTCGAGAAAGACTGAGGTCTGTGACTTAGGAGCCTCTCTCAGGAACCCAGCAGAGTCGGAACTCTGTGTTGTAAAAAAAAACAGAGCAAAAGTCTTGGTCTGGGAGGAGCTCGCTGGGGAGGCCTAGGAGCAGAGGATGTTGGGAAAGTATTGGTACTGCGGGTTGTAGCTCCATAGGTTTCTCTTGAGGCAGTAGACGAGCTTCCGGTCACAGGCACAGAGCTGCACGTGGCAGAAGGGCCCGGGCTCTGCAACAGGACACCAAGAGCAGAATGAGGGCGGGAAGAGCATGCTCCAGTCTCAGCAGAGACCCCATGGACTTCCTGCTCCAAGGAGCTTTCAGCCTGATGAAAGAGGCTTGGCTCCTAAATCAGGGGAATAGAGAATCTGATGGAAGGGGCGCAGCTGCTGCTCAGGGTGAGGTTTCAGTCAGGACTGCCCTAAGGGAGTTCCCAGTCTGATAGAGGAAGCACCTTCCTTCCTCTGGGGGACTCCCAGTCTGATGATGGAGGCAGCTGCTGCTCTGGAGGAACTCTCATTCTCACAGAGCAGAACCATCCCCAGACTTAGCCTTGAACTCAGAGGCCTTGAGCCTGAATCCTGCTGTGTGCACTGGCAGGCCTTCAAGCTTCTGTTTCCCGATGTCTAAAATGGAGGAGACTAAACCTACTCTACAGGTATATTTGGGAGGAATCAAGGAAAAGGAAGCATGTCAAGCATTTGCACCCGGTGGATGCTAAGATGTTTCAGCCCTACCCCAGGGGACTGATACAGCTGCAGTAATCCTGCTCCTCTCATCCCAGTTCTGCACCCAACCCCTCCTCCCTCAACAAGATACAGGCTGGCTGTCCTCTAGGGTAGCTGAACTTAAAGTCAGGTGCTCTTTCAATGGCCTGAACGGGAAGCCCCAGCCTTACCGCAGGTGACCAGGCCCCACGCGAATCTGTATTTGTAGGACTGTGTCCGAATGTTGCAGCCCTTCTCCTCCAGCCGCCCATAGCAGTGGTCATGCACCCAACAGCACCTGTCCATGCAAGAGACTTAGATCCCGAGTGGGAGAGATGCCCTCCTGACCCCCGTCCCTAATAGGAACAAAAATTCAACCATGTCACTTTAGCAGAGGCCACCTTGGTGGACGCGATGTGGCAGAGAGGATCTTGTAGTGTGACTGAGTAATTTCCTGTTCCTCATTTCCAGCCAGCAGGTCATGGACCCTCGTTTTCCTCCTGGTCTCGTGATTAGACTACATTTCCCAGCCTCCCTTGCAGGTAGGTGTGGCCACATGACTTGGTCCCAGCCAGGTGAGGTAGATGGAATTAATGCACTCCACCTCCAGACCTGCCCAGACAAACCTCCCACACTTTACTCCACTGTCCCTCTGCCTCCATCCTTTGGCTGGATGGAGATGACCCAGCATTCTGAGGATTCTGAGGCCATAGGTAATGGCAGAACTACAAGATGGGAGGAGCCAACGTGTGATTCATACTGAACTGTTATGTGAGCCAGAAATAAACTTCTCATATCACAGGTCCCGCATCTGTGGATCAACCAATATGGATGGAGAATGTAAGCAGGCCTATTTTCTTGTGTCTGTACTAAACATGTACATACTTTTTTCTTGTCATTATTCCCAAACAATACAACAACAACTTCCATAGTATTTACATTGTATCAGCTATGACAAGTAGTCTAGAAATGATTTAAAGTATGTGATCACAGCTGGGGGCAGTAGCTCACGCCTATAATCTCAGCAGTTTGGGAGGCCAAGGCAGGCAGACTGCTAAAGTCCAGGAGTTTGAGACCAGCCTGGGCAACATGGTGAAACCCTGTCTCTACTTAAAAATATACAAAAAAATCAGCCAGGCATGGTGGCACGTGCCTGTAGTCCCAGCTACTCAGGAGGCTGAGGTGGGAGAATCACCTGAGCACAGAAGGTCGAGGATGCAGTGAGCTGAGATCGCACCATTGCACTCCAGCCTGGGTAACCAGTGAGATCCTGTCTCAAAGAAGAAAAAAAAAAAGCTTGGGGGATACAATCACACAGGTTATATGTAAATACTATGCCATTTTATATCAGAGACTAGAGCATCTGCAGATTTTGGTATCCACGGGGATCCTGGAACCAGTCCACGGGATGACTGTATGTTAGGTGTAGCAGACTGCATATAAAAGGTTTTCTTGGTTTACAGAAAAATTGAGATCTTACAGAGGAAACACCTACTTCCTCCTATTACTAACATCTTATATTAGTATGATACCCTTGTTAGAATTAGTAAACCAATATTGATACATTATTAATGAAAATTATTCACTAAATAATAGTACATCATTATTATCTTACTAATTGTAAAAAAAAAAAAAAAAAAAAAAAGGCCGTATTCAGAGTTCCCTAGTTTTTACCTAATGTCGTTTTGCTGTCCCAGGATCCCACTGGGCATGCCATGTTACATTTCATTTTCTTGTCCTTTTTTTTTTTTTTGAGATGGAGTTTTGCTCTCATCGCCCAGGCTGGAGTGCAATGGCGTGATCTCAGCTCCCCACCGCAACCTCTGCCTCCCAGATTCAAGCAATTCTCCTGCCTCAGCCTTCTGAGTAGCTGGGATTACAGGCATGCACCACCATGCCCAGAAAATTTTGTATTTTTAGTAGAGATGGGGTTTTTCCACACTGGTCAGGCTGGTCTCGAACTTCTGACCTCAGGTGATCAGGTGATCCACCCCCCTCGGCCTCCCAAAGTGCTGGGATTACAGGCGTGAGCCACTGCGCCTGGCCCATTGTCTTGTCTCTTTAGGCCCCTCTTGGCTGTGGCAGTTCCTCACGCTTTCCTTGTTTTTGACTGTTTTGAGGGGTACTGGTTAGATATTTTATAACATGCCCACTATTGGGATTTGTCTGATATTCTTTTTTCTCATAAGACTAGAGTTTGGGGTTATTTTGTTGCTAAATTGTTCCAGTGTTGGCCACTGGGGGCTCTTTCAGTCGGCACAGATGCCCCTTGTCACATCCCCATCAATGTGGGCTTTCGTTTTGTTTGTGTTTATTTAAGCACTTCCTTACTTTTTGGCACTAAAAGAAGTTCCAGGTTCATCTTGTATATTTCCTGCCTTGGTTCCAGAATTGGCCATTTCTTCAAGGAACCCTGGCTATACACACACACACACACACACACACACACACGAATATGTATATCTATAAAATTTATATTATATATAAATTATATATAATTTATATATATATATGACTTGGAAGGGGCCTTCTATTGAAGAATGACATTGGAAACTAGATCTAGGCATTAAGTGTGCTTGTTGCTACTGGGGTGTCATTTCTTTTAGACCCTCTCCACAGATAGCAAAAGAATGTTTCTATTTGTCCATGTGTATAAAAAAAAGTATATGATCACACAGGTTATATGCACATACTGTGCCATTTTATATCAGGGACTAGAGCATCTGCAGATTTTGATATTCACAGGGGTCCTGGAACCAGTCCGAGGGATGACTGTATGTTAGGTGTAGCAGATTGCACATAAAAAGTATTCTTGGTTTACAGAAAAACTGAGAAGATCTAACAGAGGAAACACCATTTTCTCCTATTACTTACATCTTATATTAGTATGATACTAATATATGCACGCTATCTATGCATACTGCTACCTATGCATACTTCCACATGTAAACATCTGCATCTACAATAAGCTAAACAGGAGTCCATATTGATGTCTCCAACTCTAGTCCTTTTGCACATGGATCATTCTGGCTTCCTGCCCTGGCTTATCCCACTCCAACAGTGAGAAACTTGGCCCCAACCATCTGTCCTTCATTTGCTTAATCATCCCTTTCCTTTATATATGTCTAGCAGTATCAGAATTGTTAACCCAGCTGGGTATGCTTTCCAAGGAACAAAATCTCCCATTTCCCACATTTTTCTAGAACTTTAGCACTTCCCGATCAAGAGGTGGACTCTAGATCCCCTCCCTCTTAAAGACTTTGTGACTGTCTTGACCAAGAGGACAGTGTAAGTGACACAATGGGATTTCTGAGGCTGACCATAAAACAGCATACTCTTTGGTCTTGCAGTTTGGGGACACTCAGTCTTGCAACCCAAGAGTCACCATGCTGGGAGGAATCCTGAACATCCTTGGAGAGGCCTAAGTGACAGGAATTGAGGCCTCTGACCCGCTCCTACGCCAGGAGATGCTGACCACTTGCCAGCCATAGGAGTGAGCCGTCTGGAAGGTGGATTGTCCAGCCCCAGTTGTCCAAGCTGAAGCTGAGACAAGCCACCCCCACAAGCCCTACCCAAATGGCAGATTCATAAGCATAGTAAATGACCAGTGCTGTATAAGCTACCACATTGAGGACCACTTTTTACGCCACAGTCGACCAACTGACACCTTAGGCCACTGAGATCTTGGGATTGCCGGCTAACTTCTTTCAGACTCAGTTTTCTTATTTGTAAAATGGTACTTTAATACTCATCTTCCAGAACTGATATGTAATTGAACAAGAAAACATGGGTGCAGAGCCTGGAGCCCAAAGGGCAGTTATAGCAATCAGCTCACCTATCAGTGCCATCCTTGGGGGTTCCTTGGCCGCCCCAGCCACAGTAACAGCCGTAGAAGCCATAGTTTGTCAGGGCGTTCTTCCCTGTCACCTTCTCGATCATCGATTTTAGGTCCAGCAAGCCTCCTTGCACAGCAGGCACACCTGGAAGACAGCCCACGTCCCCAGGTGACACTCAGGCAGCCCAGCCCTGCTTTAGGCCCACTGCCCAACATCTCCTAGCTTTTCTCCCACCCAGGGCGTGGAGGGACCTGTGTGTCTCTTTTTTATTCTCTCAGTTAGTGGGAAGGGAGGTGCAAGCAGTATGGAGAATTGGTTCAGAGTTTGGAATTGAAAAATGAGCAGACCTGGGTTCAAATCCTGACTGTGCCACTAATTCAAAGTATGGTATTGAATGGAGTCAGAGCCTCAGTTTCATCATCTGGAAAACAGCGACCCAAAATTAGCAGCTGCATCTTAGAGTTATCATGAGGGTTAAAATAAGATTAAGTATGTAAATTTTGAGCACGGTAGCAGACACAAAGTAAGTGTCCATGATGTATAAGGTGTAATTCATAATGTATCTGCATGAAGCAGGCAGGCAGGAGTTTCCTGTCTCTTTTGGCAACACATCCCTCTTCCCCACCACTCCCTCCCTCACACCCTTTAGAACATAAGGCAGAGAATCTAAAAGCAGGATAGGACTCTTAAAAATTGCTGAAGCCAATTCCCTCATCTTACAAACGGGAAACTGAGGCATAGAGGGAAAAGGTGCCCTGTCCAGGATTTCACAGCGAGCCCAAGGCTCTCCCTGCACCAGGCCTCCAGCTCCTCCCGGCATCTCCAGGGACCTGGCAAGACATTAAAGAGCAGGACAGCCTGTCAGGGGGTTGTTGTATATACAGTCACGGGGCTGCAGGATGGGACTAAAGCCATCTGTACAGTCACTTCCCAGCTGGACAAGCCTGACCTGAGAATGACCCAGGAATCATAGGCTGGGATATTTAGATAAGAGTTTCGGTTTTTATTTGGATTGATTTGGGGATTTTTAAAATCTTATTTTATTTGCATACAAGGAAAAAATCTGCCTTGTACATTTGCCAGCCACATAACCTCCATGTCCACAACCTTTACACAGCTGAGGTACAATATCTCCTAGGACCCTGCCACAGCCTTATGCCTTAAGCATGGACTGCATTAGCCCGTGCCAGATGAGGAAGCAGAGGCTCAGAGGCATGAAGCTTCCTGCTGACGTCTATGAAGTCAGTGCAGAGGCAAGATTCAAACCCAAGTCTCTACAACCTCAGTGGCTGGTGTCCTTTTCACTACCCTGTTACTCCCATGGGGTAGAAGTTCATTCGGAGGTCATGGGGCCAGCACTTACTACAAGCCAGGAACCAAGCCAGTGGGAGGAAGCCCTTCATCTCTAGGGTTCTGGAAAAGAAAACACATTCCATGACAGGTCTACCAGGCAATGCCCCCGTGGCTCATTCAGATCCCACCCTGGCTCCCCACCAGGCCCCGCCTATTCCACTCCCCATCATGGTGGGCAATAAACAAGGTGAGTCCAGCCAGAAAAGATGAGACAAAAAACCTATCGGTCCACTGAGGGCCCTGGAGGCAGAGGGGATAATGGAAGCATTTGCAGGTACACTGTCCCTACTACCAGTGCACTCTTAGCCACAAACACCCCAGACATACTCACCCTGTTGGCAAAATGGCTAAAAGGGACCAGAGAATGGGCAGGAATCTTAAATGGAGATTTGGTGGCATACGTGGAGAAGCAGGACTTGATATAACCTGAACGTGGCCTTTGATGAAAGATGCAAGACGGAAGAAAAAAATTCCTGGACAGACAGCACTGGACGCCCACGGCAGGAGGGCAGAAGGAAAGCCGATGCTTCTATGTCTCATACTCGTTTTAGCTCACGGCGCTGTAGTTGCCTGTTTTCAAGGATGTTTACCCTGATGGTTCTTTGCAGGCAGAAGCTGGGCGGATGCACCCCTCTATTCTAACACTGAGAATAGTGCCTGGCCCAGAGTAGGTGCTCAGCAGTGAAGCCTGGGCACCCACAATGTGCCAGTGGCTTTCAGGGCCTGGTTATGGCTCTTATGGGCCCCAAGCACTTTTGCCTTTGTAGGTATCTTTCTGCTATATCTTTATTTTTATCTCTATATTCACACGATTATTTTTGACAACTATGTTGGTATAAAGAAAAACACAATCCAAGCTGGATTTATTATTATATATTCATTATTATTATGTTCATTTCTTTCCTCTTGATTTTAAAAGAATTTATAAAATTAAGACACTCTCCTGGGACCCAGGCACTATGTCTACCTAAAGAATAAGTCAACACTGGGGGTTCATGAGAGTGCTGCAGGGTAAGTATCACTGTCTTCATTTTGCCACTGGGAAAATTGAGGCTCAGAAAGCTCCAGGACCTTGCCAGAGGTCACACAGCCATTAAGCAGTGGAGGCCGGATTTGAGCCCCGTCCTTCTGTGCCCCTCACTGCACCACACAGCCTCGCTTCCCAGAGGCATGAATCCTTTGAGGGGTCTGTGCTTGTTCCTTCTTGTGCTCTACCTATCAGGCCAGAGCCCTTGGCTTCACTCCGTAGAATCTGTCTTTGGTAAAAACAGCCATTGCTAGCCTTGAGTCCAGGAAATTCCATGTGTCTCAGGCCAGCACCCGATTCTAATTTGGCTTCTCAGACGTTCCGTACTGGCAACTGCCTGATTCCCTTCCTCCCAGGATCTAAAGTCCTTGTTTGTCCACAGCTGGGCAGGCCCGGGGCTCTCCCCTTCAGTGCTCTGTTGTCTCAAGTCCCTGAGTTGAATGGTCACTTGTGCCAGAGCTCTGCCTGAACCCCTGGCACCTCCCAAGACCTGGCCTCCAAATACGCCTCAGACTCCCTGGGGCTCCTGCCGTTGTCCAGTAGCAACTCTGAGTTCCAAGAACATTCCTGAGGGTTCCGTCCACAGCTGGCCTCCATGACAACGCTTGTCCAGCAGCAACTCTGAATCCCAAGAACATTCCTGAGGGTTCTGTCCACCCATAGCCTCTGCTCCAAGGGCTCCAAACAGCCAAAGAAATGGCCCTAGACACCACCATTCCACACCGATCTTTCTCTGCCGCTCCCTGGATCCTGCAGCACAGTGACACCAACTGCCACTCGCTGGGCATGTCTGGTGTGCCAAACACTATGCGCTATCTCTCTAAACCCATCAAGAACCTTGGCAGGCCTGGAGTCTGTCCTTTTAAACAGCCACTTGTTGCATGAATAACAGTTGTTGGTTTTACAGATAAGGAAATTGAGGCTCAGGCAGATTAAGTGACTAGGACTGTCAATCTATTTCCTTGACTGACTCTACTCCACTGCCTCTGAGCATCCCTGGGCACTAAACATGCTTTCGATTTTCTGTATTTTAGGACGCTTTGACATCTTGGAGGCCAGAGACAGCCTGCTCCTTCCAGGGCTAGTTAATTCCTAGACACCTCACATGGCTCCTCTGTGAGCGTGCCTTTCACGTGCAGACCGACTGTGACAGTAGGTAGCTGGTCAGACAGGAGCAGGACAGGAATGTCAGGCAACCATCAGGTGATGGGCAGGCAGTTGTTAACCGTCTCTCTAAAATAATAACTGGTCACAGACAGCACCAGGGAAAGGCAGTCTCCCAATCAACAGGAACACCTGAAGCTGGTGGTCAGCAGCTTCCAGTCAGATCTCAGGAGCTCGGTGAGTGGGCTCACACATGCGCATGAAGAGGCAAAATGGCAGAGTTGAACTGGTATAGGACCTGCTAGGGATGTTCGGCTGGTAAGGGAAGAACGCCTCAAGGGAACACGCGTACAACGCCAGTAAACACACTGCGCATGCTCCCTCCCAAGTGCTAGCAGGTGGGCGGATAAGGAAAACAAGACCCCGGAAGTATGCCAATGTATAAAACCCCAAGTCAAAGGTCAAACAGAACCCCTGAATCTCTCAAGTCACCTGGTTGGCCCCTCTTCCAAGTATACTTCACTTCCCTTCATCGCTACTCTAAAGCTTTTTAATAAGCTTTCACTTCTGCTGTGACACTTGCCTCAGTCCCTCCTTCTGCCTTATGCCCCTCAGTCAAATTCTTTCTTTTGGCTCACTCCGTCACCAGGCTGGAGTGCAGTGGTACCATCTCGGCTCACTGCAACCTCCGCCTCCCGGGTTCAAGCGATTCTCCCGCCTCAGCGTCCCAAGTAGCTGGGATTACAGGCGCCCACCACCATGCCCAGCTAATTTTTTGTATTTTTAATAAAGACAGGGTTTCACCATGTTTGCCAGGATGGTCTCGATCTCCTGACCTCGTGATCCACCCACCTCAGCCTCCCAAAGTGCTGGGATTACAGGCATGAGAATTCTTTCTTCTCAGGAGGCAAGAACTGAGGATGCTGAGGCCTGTATGGATACATCCCACTGCTGACACAGCCAGTCCTTTGGCACACCCAGGTCGCCTTTCCCTTACCCTCACACTCTAAGCCAAGGTTTCTCCTGCTCTAAATCACCCCAGGGCCAGACACTGGACAACTAGGGAAGCCTGGAATCCCGCTGACCTGATTCAAACTGGCCAGTCCTAAACTGTGTCTCCTGCCCTACCAGCCTTTCCCAAAGATCACAGCAAAGGCCCTGGGCAATGCTTCCCACGGCTCCTCCTGACCTGCCGACCTGGCACTTCCTGCGTGTCCCTGGGTGGGGATCACGCCCTCTTCTGGGAGCTGTAAATAACAAGCTATCTTTTAAATGGCAATCATTTCTTGATCTGTTGGCCTCCCCATACCTGGAGATAACCAACCTCCCAGGTGCATTTGAGAACACCCTGGAAAGAGTAAAAAAGCAGTTTCATGGTGGTGGTGGCAGAGGCGTGGAGTGGCTGCCCTGAAGCGTGGACGGCCACTCCACTCAGTAGAGCCCAAAGTGGGCCCCAGGAGGAGGATGTGGGCTCAGCTATTTTCATCAAACCACCACAGAGAGGAAGTGCATAGCCGCGAGAGAATTTCGGAGGAGGGCAGCGGTTGCAGTAATGAGAGGGGAGAGAATAGAGATGGACAGCCCAAAGGAAGACGTGGAGGCTGGGACGTGGCCAGGTCGCCAAGGGACAGGTCCCCCACGTCCACGTGCTGCAGCTCCAGGACTTCCCAGTTCACGTCTCCTGGCTGGAAAGAATGCACAGTGGGGAGCCTCACAGCACAGACACCTCCTGCTGTCTGTGAGGGAGATGATGGGGGTTCACCCCTCTCCAGGCCCTGCTCCCCTGACCAAGGGGGACAGGTGTTTCCTCTCATAGCCCCTCTCTCAGCCCTGCTCTCTGCACCTCCCTCAGGCAAAGCAGCCCCAAAGATGAGATTCCTCACCAGTGAGACCTTTTCTCCGTCCTCAGGCCCGCGGAAGAGGCCGGGGCTGGGCCCGCCTGGTTTTAAGGACCTCTCTGTCGCCTCCCACACTCCTGCGTGGGCCAGCTCCAAGATTCCTGGTAACTCGCATAGGAAGCTCTCCTTCCCCTCACCCTGGCACGACCCCTGGGGAATTTTTTCCACTGTGTACTCAGAAGTTGATTCTTTTGGTTGTTTTTTTTTGTTTGTTTGTTTTTTTTGAGACGAAATCTCGCTCTTTCGCCCAGACTGGAGGGCAGTAGTCCTATCTCAGCTCACTGCAGCCTCTGCCTCCCTGGTTCAAACAATTTTCCTGCCTCAACTTCCTAAGTATCTAGGATTACAGGCGCACACCACTACGCCTGGCTAATTTCTGTATTTTTAAGAGAGATGGGGTTTTACCATGTTGGTCAGGCTGGTCTCGAACTCCTGACCTCAAGTGATCCACCCACCTCAGCCTCCCAAAGTGCTGGGATTACTGCCACAGAAGCAGCTGTTTTCTGAAGCAGGTCACAGTGCCCAGGTGGCTATCAGGAAAGATGGTGATCAGTCGGGCTTGGGCCACCCACGATCCAGGGCTCTTCCCCGCCAAGAACAGGAACCCTGGAATCCCCCTCCAGGGCACAGCCTCCCTCCCACCCACCACACTGGGTCTTTTCCAAGTCCCCCAGCCCTGGGATCCTGCTCAGATTTCATCCTGTCTCGCTCAGCCTCAACCCAGGAACGGCCAGGGAAGACAGGCGGCCCCACTCCCGGACTTGAAGCTTTGTCCCCGTCCTCTTACTGTTGTTCCTAACTTATCAACCCCCAACTTTTTCTGCCCCGTTCCTGAGCTGGGGTGACTCAGGAGATGACTGTAGAAACACCACAGAACATTGCCTGCCACGTCCAGGTGGTAGCCCTTTTTTGGCACCTGATTCCGTGCCAACTTCCTACAGGTCTTCCCTCAGGGAAGGGGAAAGTGCCAGGCTTGCAGTTAGAGAGATGCCAGCTGGAGTCCCAGCTCAGCCACTTAGTATCTGTGTGAG